TTTAAATGTTCGTCTATGTCCTTAGAACCTATAATAATGTCATCTATATAGCACGCACAACAGTCTAATCCGCGTAACACCTCGTCCATAAACCGCTGAAACGTTTGAGCTGCGTTCCGCAACCCAAACGTCATCATTGGAAATTCATATAGTCCAAACGGTGTCGTGATGGCTGTCTTCTGCACGTCCTCTTCTGCAACAGGAATCTGCTGGTATGCACGCACCAAATCGACTTTGGAGAAAATCGCCGTGCCTTGCAGACCCTGTGTGAAGTCTTCCACGTGGGTAACCGGGTACCGGTCCGGTACGGTCCTCGCGTTCAAAGGTCTGTAGTCCCCACATGGCCGCCAATCGCTCCCCTTCTTGGGAACGAGGTGCAACGCCGATGCCCAGCTACTCTTTGATGGTCTCGCAACCCCTGCTGAAGCATGTACTTAAATTCCTGCTTCGCTGCTGCCAACCTATCCGTGGTCAGACGCCGCGGCTTGCACGATACTGGGGGTCCGGGTGTCGTGACGATGTGGTGTACCGTCGAGTGCCTCGGCTTCTTCGCCGCGACGGAGGGTTTCGTGATGTCTCTTGGACTACTGTGGGGACCATGCACCGATGAATTGCGAGTTAGTGTGGAATCTCAACCAGTTTTACGGACTACGAAAAGAACACTTTTATCCGAAGTATCCAAAATTTTTGATCGGCTTGGGTTAGTGGCGCCTGTTATTATCCAGGCAAAACTAATTATACAGTCACTATGGCAGTTGAAACTCTCATGGGACGAATCCATGATTTTTATGCGGACCTCAGGTCACTGACACGGCTCGCAATTCCTCGGTGCGCATTGTGCCCGAATCTTGTGCAGGTAGAGATGCATGGGTTTTGCGATGCCTCTGAACGGGCATTCGGGGCGTGCATCTACCTGCGCACGATTTCAAAAACGGGCAAAACATTAACACGGCTCCCCTGCGCAAAGACACGCGTGGCACCGCTTAAAACAATAAGCCTGCCTCGCTTGGAATTATGTGGTGAATTATTACTAGCGCAACTTGTGAATAAGGTTCGAGTTGCGTCCCGCAGTCAAAAGGTCTAAGAATTCTATTGGACCGATTCAATGATCGTACTGGCGTGGATCAAAGGGTCCCCGAACCGATGGAAAACCTTCGTAGCTAACAGGGTTTCTGAAATTCGGACACTTTCGGCGGGACCATGGAATCATGTGCTTTATGGGAATAACCCAGCTGATTTATTGTCGCGGGGAGTCAAGCCTTCCGCTTTGAACAAGCTATCTTTTTGGTGGAACGGTCCATCATGGCTCGCGCAGCCATCGACAGAATGGCCAATCACTGGTTCTTTCTCAGCAGAAGTACCAGAAGAAAAAGCCATTTCTTGTATTGTAGTAAGGGAAATTGCAGCCGAATTACCGGAGTTCCTATTAAAATTTTCAAATTACACACGTTTGCTCCGCGTGATTGCTTACTGTTTGAAATTCTATCACGAATTAAAATATAGAGTAAGTCTTCGTAACGATCGTACTAATCGTCTGTGTAGCCTTCAATTGACGGTGCAGGATCTTGACCTTGTAGAAGTAATCGTCCTTCGAGTAATACAAGCTAATGCATTATCGCAACTGTCTGATTTGCGTATGTAGACAATTGGAGAGGTGGTAGGAACTTTGGTACTCACAATTCAGGTTAAAATGTTCTTTATTTTATATCAGGGTACAGACCGACAAATCAACGGAGATCTGAATAACACAAAACTGACTGACACTGACGATCTCTGATTCTGACTCTGACTATGACTCTCTGGCGATCGGGGCCCGGGCTTATATATCCCCAGATCCGATCGTCTTTTGGCTCTTTCGTACCGGGTGCAAAACTTCCCGGCGCGTGCCGTGGAACCTTCTCGATCGTTCGACGATGTTCCACGGACACGTGCAGCCGATCGATTTTTGCACCCGGTCCGAACTGGCGGCCCACGGCCTCCTTTGACGGTCTACAAAGTAACAAATCTAACGGTCTACACGTAAAAATGAAACAGTGCCATCCAATAGCCCGCTACGGTCGTTGAACCCGTTTATTGACGACAAGGGGCTCATTAGGGTGGGCGGTAGGCTCGCCAATGCGGAGCTAAAATGCCACCAGCAACACCAAGTGATTCTACCGAAGAATCACCACGTCACTCGAATGATCATTCGTCGTGGACATGAACGTGGTTTACATGCCGGTTGCGAAACGGTATTATCAATGGTTCGAACGCGGTATTGGCCATTGACAGGACGCAATCTAACCAAGGGGATAATCCGAACCTGCATTAAATGCAATAGAGCTGCTCCAAAGGGTACCAGCTACCTGATGGGGCAGTTACCTGCACCGAGAATAAGAATCAGACCGCCGTTCTTTTCCACCTGTGTCGATTACGCGGGTCCTTTCTACCAGCAAGACGACGACCAAAGGCTACCTGTGCGTGTTTGTTTGCTTAGCCACAAAGGCCGTCCATTTAGAATTAGTTTCGGATCTATCGACGGATGCCTTTTTAAATGCCTTGAGACGGTTTGTCGCGAAATATATTCGGACAGCGGCACCAATTTTGTAGGAGCACGCAATGAAATGCAGAGAATTAAAGAATTCTTTGCAGACCAAAAACGAAGGGATACCCTCTCTGAGTTTACTGTCACTGAGGGTATGCAGTGGCATTTTATCCCACCGTACTCTCCGCATTTCGGGGGATTGTGGGAGAGTTGCGTGAAATCCGTGAAACGACATTTGACTCGAGTCGTTGGGGAAACTCGGCTAACGTTTGAAGAAATGGCCACTGTTCTAGCGCAGATAGAGGCGTGTTTGAATTCTCGACCACTATGTCCTGTGTCAACCGATCCCACAGATCTGAATCCCCTCACTCCTGGTCACTTCCTAACCGGCAGCCTACCCATGGACCTTCCATATTCTGACGTCACTGACGTCAGAGTTACTCGATTAAGTCGGTTTCAGTTACTCCAACCAATGTCGCAGCATTTTTGGAAACGGTGGCAGTTGGAATACCTCCATCAGCTGCAACAGCGACATAAATGGAAAATCGCTGTACCAGAAGGATTCGGAGTGGGCACTATGGTCGTCATCAAGGAGGCTAACCTCCCTCCTCTAAGATGGAAACTAGGAAGGATCACGGCTTTACACCCAGGCGCTGACCAGATCACCAGAGTCGTTTCCATCCGGACAGCCGATGGAGTCATCAAGCGACCTGTGGCAAAAATTTGCATTTTGCCTACGGAGGATGAAAATTCATCCCCAAAGGATCAGCCTGGATCGAGAGTGAATCGTGAATTAAAAGACTCTGAATCCGTGGAAGCCGAGCCTGCACATGTATAAACTTTACTCAATGTTAAGTGTACTAGAACATTTAAATTTAGGTTGCAAGGTCATCAATCATTTGTAAATAGTAGCTTAGGATGATTTGCAATTACATTAGGTATAGATATTTGTTGAACTAGTATACTACCATTTTTGTTTGCTTCCATGTTTTTGTTATATGATAGTACTTCATATTCGTTGATATTTGTTTTGAACGACAGTCGTTCAAGGTGGGTGGCATGTTCGATGAAACAAAATGCGCACATTCCGCTGGCCGACTCGAGCGGTTTCCGGTCCTTTATGTTGCCAAATGCGGGATCGGTACTACGTTGCGAAGGTCTTCGAGTCTCCCGCATCTGGCAAATGTCAGTGCAAAAGAAAGGAATTTTGGTTTTTGAAAGAAACGCTACACTCGAGTTGACCAGCGAAGGGCTATATTGTTCCGCGGGTGGCACGGTCATTGAGGCCAAATGTAGGCACCGACGACAACGGCCATCGCCGACGCGCGGAACAATATAGCCATAAAACAGATACAAATCAGACGCAACCTTTTGTTGCGTTGATAATCCGGAGTTCCGTTACTTCCTTGATAAATTAACGCGGCCTTCGACTTGGGGAGGAAACCTCGTCCACTCTCACCGGGGTGGCCTGAGACTTTCTTCCACCACCGAGGTGAGGGAGGAGTTTCCTGCCGAAATGGGGCAGGAAAATGGGTCTTCCTCTCCCAAGTCGATGGCCAATCAATACAGTCTAGATTCCACAGAGGAATCTGGAAAACACCCCCAAACCACCTCTTGGTGGGGATCTAACCTGAGGAGGAAACGTACTCCGGACGGGACTGCACTCTTAGTTTGGTCTTTGAGAGACATAGTCTCTCAGTTTGTTTTTCGAGCGACGAACATTGAACACATTTTGTAAAGTAACACGGGGGAACAGGTCCTCACATAGTTCATCGCGTTCAATAACACATGTCTACATATACAGTCCACTTTATCATTGTAAAATAAAATAAAATTTCAATCCAACCACAACCATTTCGAACGCGAACAGTGTATATGTATCAATATAATTATAAAACTATAAGACGTATAATCATCATTATCCAAGAGCATGATCACTGCCATATACACTTAACTAGAATTTAGGGTACCGTTGGATCCCAGTAGGGAACAAAATTTAAGGAAGTTACAGGGAAAGAGCATTTTGTACAAAACATGGGGCAATCATTTGTCAATAAATAATGTTAAAATTAACTTATCGATGATCCCATACGTATTTCTCTAGCTACTATTTTTGAATAAATATTTTTTTTACACGCTTAACGACATGGTTAATAACATTATTGAATATTATTATCCTCTTACTTTTCCATCCATCCAAAAAAAAATCGCAAGAAAACGCTTTATTTCAGGTTTTTACAGTGGTCTTACCCCTTAAGGTAATATTAAACTAAATGTTGAGGTGTCCGCTAATAAAATGTTGGAATTTCCAACAGGCCCCTTACATGCACCTCTTTTTGCGCTAAAGATACATCTATGGTAACGGACGACAGGTAAGTAGCTGTGACATCGTTGACGCATGCGCAGAAAGGAATCTCACGAAGTAAAATTCCCACGAAAGTCCATCACTGCACTGAAGATGGCTCGTATCAGAGTCGACTATGGTACAATTTGTCGCCACGTAAAAACGTGCCTTAAATAGTAAATAGAATCAATGACAACAGAAGAAAAAAAATATAACCTATCATATAAATATGTTTATTTAACCGTAAACAAATATAAATTATTAATTCATTATGAAAATAAATAAAATTGTTTGTCATGTACAATATGCCAAGAAAAATCATAACTTTTTCCGAACATGTGTGTCGATGTTTAACAGGTTAGTTTTAATAAATTTTCTTCTTCTAATATCAATTTTAATTTCCTAATGCACTTAAACGATACAATAAAAAAGAAATTTTAGAAAAGTTTAGTCAAAATTTCTCATAACTATAAGGAGATAGTGATTTTTGTATGTTTAATTTCAGTAAATACTGGCACATTCGTAGTAAATATTACTCAACCACGTCAGAAGCAACTCAGGAACGCAATACATTAGTAGAAAACATTCGTAATTTTAGTATTATAGCTCATGTTGATCATGGAAAGAGTACCTTAGCTGACAGATTCTTAGAACTAACAGGTGCAGTGAAAACAAACTCTGGGAAACAAATATTAGATAATCTGCAAGTCGAAAAAGACAGAGGGATAACAGTTAAAGCTCAAACAGCTTCTCTGAACTATACTTACAAAGGGACCAAGTATCTTCTTAATTTGATAGACACACCAGGTCATGTAGACTTTTCCGCAGAAGTCCATCGTTCTCTGGCTCCCTGTCAAGGTGTAGTATTAGTGATCGATGCGAATGATGGCGTCCAAGCTCAAACAGTGGCCAACTTTTACTTGGCTATTAAGCAAAACTTGGTCATAATACCAGTAATAAACAAAATAGATTTGAAAACTGCCAAGCCAGATAGAGTGATAAGTCAGTTAAAAACATTGTTTGATATAAAGGAAACAGACGTATTGAAAATATCTGCAAAACTGGGAACCGGAGTAGTTAAAGTCCTGGACGCAGTCATAGAGAAAATTCCACCACCAGATGTCTTCAGAGACAAACCATTAAGGGCTCTAACATTCGACAGTTGGTACGACAAGTACAGAGGAGCCATTTCGTTGGTCTACATCAAAGAAGGGTCTTTGTCAATTGGAGACCACATTGTTTCAATGCTCACTAAAAAATCTTATGAAGTTAAAACTCTGTCGCTGTTGAGACCTAGCGAAGAAATTGTAAATAAGTTGTAAGCCTCATTGCTATTAGTTTTTTATTTCTGTTATTAAAGAATTAAAAAACATTTGGAAACGTAGACTTTAGAAGCACAAGAAATCAAAGTTTGAGTTTGTTTAATCGAACAGTGTTAGATTCGCAGGTCAAATAGGATGTGTTTCGTGCAATATGAAATCTTCAAAGGAAGCACTGATAGGCGATACATTGCATTTGCAGAAGTGCAGCGTAGAACCTTTACTGAGAATCAAGTCACCTAAGCCGATGGTCTTCTCAGGAGTTTATCCACTGGATCAGTCGCAATTCGGCACAATGAGAACCGCAATTGAAAAGTTGACATTGAACGACAGTGGAGTTTCCATTGCATCGGATTCTAGGTATATGTTAGAATATTGTTTTAGATTCGATGAGTCAACATTTTAATACTTTGATATAGTTTGACAAAGATTATTTTATGAACGATCTTTCAAGTAATTAAACAATTATAAGTAACGTGTATCAATTTCTGAAATCCAGTAAACAATTGGACAAATAACTATTTTGTTCGAAATTATATTTATAGAATTCTAAAAAAATGAAAAGTAAAATAGTTTCTTCGCATCAAATTTAATTTCTTTCTTCATATTTTTGTATACTTCTATATTAGTGTAGCTCTTGGACAAGGCTGGCGAGTAGGATTTCTCGGTTTATTGCACATGGAAGTCTTCATGCAGCGTTTGGAACAAGAGTATAATGCGCAACCAATTGTAACAATACCAAATGTCACGTACAAAGCGACTATTGTAGGTAACAAGAATATTAAAAAACTTGGTAGCGATACGATGGTGTTCAACAATCCTGCAGACTTTCCCAACTTACAAATTGTGTCGCAGTTTTACGAACCCATAGTGCTAGGAACTATCATAACGCCAGGTATATCCAATTGTAGAATTTTAAATCGCAGTACAATTGAAAAACAGTTAAAGATTCAATACTTTACAATTCTATATGTATCCAGTTGAATACATAGGGGTGATACTAAGTTTGTGCATGGAGAAGCGAGGAACGGAAGAAACGAGAAAAGATATTGGTAACAATAGAGTAATGTTGCAGTTTTTATTACCATTAAATGAAATCATTGTAGACTTTCACGATTCATTAAAATGCATTACTTCCGGATACGCTAGTTTCGATTACGAAGAATATGACTACAAACCAACGAACATAGTGAAGGTATCTGTAATTAGTTTTGATTTATTTATTAATCGTATCAATAAATATATGTACATTCGTATATTAAAGCAGCATTGTGTACGTATGTTCCCCAGTTAAATATCGTTTTAAACGGTATTCCGGTGGAAGAATTGAGCAGTATTGTTCACATAAGCAAGAGTTATGCAATAGCCAAACAACAGTGCGAAAAGTTGGTGGAAGTTATACCGCGTCAAATGTTTGAAATCGCGATTCAAGCTGTGGTAAACGGAAAGGTTATCGTGAGAGAAACTTTGAGGGCGTTTAGAAAAGACGTAACAGCCAAACTGGTAAGAATCGTATTACAACAACTTGTTTATATACATTTGCAAATTTGTTTTTTCCAATTTCAGTATGGAGGAGACGTCTCAAGAAAAAAGAAACTATTGGCGCAGCAGGCGCAAGGAAAAAAACAAATGAAAATGGTTGGGAAAATTTCTCTACCTCGAGACACATTCATAAAAGTTCTAAAAAGATAATAGAAATTTTACGAACGCGTATAATTTTATATATCCGTAGATACTTTTATTTAAACTTAGCAAATTGTAAAATAAAATTCGAAACAATTCGATATTAAAACTGTATTAATTGCTATGGAAAGTAAACTAATTCAGTTATTAAAACTTATTTGAATGTTTTAATAATTGGATATGAAGTATAGATGGTTGGCAAAGTTTATTTTGTGTTCAATCATTTCATATAATTAAATAATTACAAGTAAAGTGTCAATTTATGGAATCTGGTGAACGATCGGAGAGTTGATGAGTGTTGTTTGAAAGTACAGTATTTACAGAAGTAGGATTATCTTGTCTGAACGTTACATTAGTATTAAGATTAATATTAATCACAGACATAGACGCTGGGTCTTGCATGTCCAATTGACTTTGAGCAATATCCTGTAAAGCGGCTTGAATTCTTTGTAAAAGTGCTTCTCCTTGTTTTACCACTTCCTCTAGTTGTTCTCCAGCTTCTTGATTTTCCTGCTCCAGACGACTGAGACTTGCTACCTGCAATTCTTGCGATGATTCTTCGCTCGGTAGACTTTCTATCAAGGTGTCGATATCTTTCGCACATCTTGCTATTAGAGTTGCAAATAAAGCTGCATAATCTAAAATTCCATTTATGCTTTATATAGAAATGGCAATAAGAAGTCAATCATAGTACCTTAGCAAATCTTTGACGAAAAGAATGACTGCAGTTATTAAATGTAACTTGGAAAGTTGTAAAATACAAAGTATCGAGTATAAATATATTGTTTATGCATTCACGTTAATGAGAATATTAGTGTTTATGGAAAAGAATGGTGATATTTCTAATGGCAAAAAAGAGAAATATGTGTGAATTATGTTGAAAAAAATTACCTTCTTGAGGTTGGTGAGGTTGTGGCGTCCCTACACGATCGAAACCAGGAAATTTACTGGGTGTAGAATATTGTTGCAAAATACCTACACTGTTACAAAAATGTTCAGCTTGCTACAATAATATCCAAAATTAAAAAATCATCGTTCGTAAGAATTTTAAATGGGAAAACGAAAAATTTTATTACTTGATTTATGGTATCTTGCAATTGCGTTAGACGATCCGCCATATTCTTCAAATCAACCTCTAAAAATTCATACGATTATATTTTCACTATAATTAATAGCCGATACTTATTAACTTTATAACATTACTGTTACTAATTATTATTACCGCTTTAAATACTGTTCGATATGTAACTTAGGAAGTAAATTATGCAACGAACAAATCGATTTTCGTCTATTACGTGCGAAATTTATTTAGTTTTCAATATAAATATACATACATTTCGTTATTACATTTTAAATTATTGTTTTCGATGTATACTCTATTTCATATTGAACATCGTTGAACCATAAACTATAAAATTAGAATAGATGACGATACAATATGTAGTTTATATATATCAAAACTATAGATGGCGTGCAAAATCACTAACAGTGATGACAAAATCACGATCACGTCACAGCCGACTCTAGTACTAGCCGAGCTATGGAACGTGGCAACACCGCTCATGTGCGGATCGGGAGTCCTATTTTCAATAGTGGAGTTTTGTGTTCAGGATTATAATTAACGTTATTTTGCGATATAAAATTATACTAATATACAGTATTTTTTATTAATTATGTATAAGGAATATATGAATATCATAACTATAGTAAATAGAAGTAATACAGAAGTATATTAATATTTATAAATGTGGTATATATTTTGTGGGCTGTCGGAATAGTTTGGTGTTGTGATGCATTATATTTGAAATATTTACAGAGATTTCAAGAAAATAGAAGTGTGAAACAAGTTAAAACCATCTTTGAACCAAACTGAAGGATTTAAAAATTGATAAAGGTATGTATAAGTTAATAGAGACCTGAAATAGGCAAAATTATTGGTACGAAGCCAAACAGGTTAAGTGCCCGTGGAAAAAGAGGTTAGCATAATTAGCTATTGAAAGGAACAATTATGGAGTTAATTATAAAATCGTGTTAGAGGACAGTATGATAATTGTGAAAAATTGCCTCACCACCCTAGGGGTATTTACCATGGCGCGTTACCTTTTTTTTTTATTATAATGGGTGGTTCGTCAATAGCCATATCATCCCATTTTCTAAAATAAAATTGATATTTTTAAATAGAACATAACAAAAACATAACTTTTGTATTCTTAAAGAAATAAAGTATTACATTTTGAAATAATAATAAATAATTTTGAATAATATTAATAACAAAACATAAAGGAATATTGAAAGGAATAAGTAAAATATATATAAAAATTAATGTTTTAAGAAAGATGAAATTAAAAAAAATCATTGAAAATCTAGTTCCTATTAAAAGTTTTTAATTTACGATTTTTAGAAGTGATGTCTGTATGTGTTTCCAACTGACTATTATTTACAGTTTTCACATAATCGTTTAATAAAATATTTGAAAAAATTGATAATAATTTAAACCAAATACTTTGGTAAGTTCGACCACAAACGCATGTATCTGAAAATGCTAAATAATGTATGTCTGATTGAATGCTAATATATGTTAATTTACATAAAATATGTTTATGATTTCCAGATTGCAAAAATTGAGATTCTAAATTGCCATCATTTATTATGGCTTCCATTATTGCATACATATGAATAAATGAGGCTATCGCTTCTTCAGTGGGGACAGAAAGGCCCCCTCTTTGTAAGTGATCAAAATATACATCGCCTACAGTTTTACCTTTATCCTCCACAACTAATTGTTGGATTTCTTTATTGTAATTTTGTACATCGCACCTCGCTTCCAAAAACGCTTCTTCTCTTTTTTCCCGATCGCGCACACCTTTTTTTCCTTCTCACCAATCATACCCACTCATCATTCATACCAACTCATCATTCATACCAACCCAGCAAAAGCTAGATATTTTCACACCCTTCCTCAATTCAAATCGCAACGATGAGAATTGCTAATCAAGCATTTGCAAGTTGTCTCTATGTTTTATAAACAGCTTTGACACCAGTGATTTTGTTAATATGTCCGCAGTGTTTTTGTTTGTCTCTGTTGGGATAGGTTGTTGTAGGAACTACACTTCTTGTGGGGTGACAAATCTTTCTTTATTTTTCGATGTTTTCGGTTAGAGCGCGCAAAACCAAGTGTCGTTCTTCTTCGCTCGTCTCCATGTCGACCCCTCGGTTGCACTGGCAAAATTGTTAAACAACCCTGATTGGTTAACCCCACGCGTTGGGCCTTTCCAATCAGGGCCGTTTATTTTTCCCAAATCACCGCCTATTTCTTACGCCCACGGCGTGCTTGTTTTCGAAACGGCGTGGTGATTGAGGGGGACGACGTTGCGCCCTCACTGCAAGATTTCCTTCGGACCACCCGCGCTGGGCCCACTTGGCGAAACTCCGATGGGTACGCGTCGAGTGTCCTCTGGAAATCCCTAATTTACGACGGTCTCTATTTGCTGTTGAGGGACTTAGGAAAAGAATTTACTAAACGCATTCGATACGCGAGTCTGGAAAATATCTTCCTCAAAAACAGCTTCGACGAACGAGAGTCGTAAATTACGTGGGCCGTTTGCACGAGAGAAAAACTTTCCCATGTGCACACGACCGGTCGCTACATCACCCCCTTACCAGTGCAAACGTTACCTTACTATTGTACTTTTTATACTATTTACACTATTTAAACCTACTATATACAAAGTACAATCTAATTTGATCTATATACAATATATACATGTGTTTTACCCAACTTGCAAGCGGTCGGGGAACCTTACTCGTCTACCTGAACGGGTGCGTAAGGGTTCCTGCGTGCAAGCTGGCGGAGTGCTAGGCGTTTCTACGACTGCAAGTGTTTGCGCGGCGCGTACCTGCTCATTACCTGCACTTGGCTCTAACATGTAGGCGGGTCTGAGCCGGTCGATTGAGACTGACGCCTCTTTGCTTCTAACCCGCACTACAAAATACTTTTCGTTTCGGGATACGACTGGGAATGGCCCGTCGTACGGATTCTGCAACGGACCCCGTACCGCGTCTGTCCGAATGAAGACGTGCGATGTGGTCGCTAAATCTCTGAATATAAAAGTCTTTTTCATTCCGTGACGTGTACCATTCACCGGTCGTATCCCTCGGAAATGCTCGCGGAGCTGCAGCACTAACGTCGCTGGATCCGTTTCGCGGATCGGCTCGTCGCGAAACATTTCTGCCGGAAGGCGAATATTCTCGCCGTACACTAACTCCGCGGTAGATGACCTAAGGTCGTCTCTATACGCGGCGCGAATACCTAGTAGAACGGCAGGTAACGCATCTGTCCACCGTTCGTCGGCGCGACACTTTATCGCGGCCTTCAGCTGCCGGTGGAACCGTTCCACTAAACCGTTCGCTGCGGGGTGGTAGGCGGTTGCCCGTAAATGAGTACTTCCGAGCAGTACATTTAACTGCCTGAATAGGTGGGACTCGAACTGGCGGCCTCGGTCAGTGGTGACCCGTGCCGGTGTCCCAAATCGCGCGACCCACCCCGAAACGAAGGTTCGCGCGACAGTCTCAGCCTCGATATTCTCGAGCGGGAAGGCTTCAGGCCATCGCGTAAACCTATCAACGCAGGTAAGGCAGTATTTATTGGCTAACTTTTGCCCGTTGACACTCGAGACAATTGCAACACCACTCTCGGCAATCTCTCTCCATCGACGGCCAAACGAATCGATCCTTCAATAAACGCACTGTCGCCTTCGCACCTGGGTGCGACAGTCCGTGTACCAGGTCGAACACTTGGCGTCGGAAGATTTGAGTCACGAACGGACGCACACTTCCGGTTGAAACGTCGCAGTAAACGGGTGCATCGCTTATATTTATGCGTATACGTTTCAATTGCAATGAGGTGTCAGACGCATCAAGAAAACTCCGAAGCTCAGTATCCCGCTCTTGCGCGTTCGCGAGTTCTGCGTAACTCAGCGGAGCGGTTACTGCCTCGATTCTTGAGAGTGCGTCTGCGACCTCATTGTCTTTGCCGCTCACGTGCTGTATGTCCGTCGTGAATTGTCCGATGAGATCGAGATATCGAAATTGTCTCGGCGTACACTTATCCGGTTTTTGCATGAACGCGAACACTATTGGCTTGTGGTCCGTGTAGATCGTAAATTCGCGACCCTCGATTGCGTGGCGAAAATGTTTAACCGCGGTATATGCGGCGAGTAATTCGCGATCGTACGCGCTATATTTTCGCTGCGCGGGCGACAAAGCTTTCGTGCAAAAGGCTAACGGTTGCCACGAACCGCTTTGTCGCTGCTGTAATGTCGCGCCTAATGCGAAATCCGACGCATCTACCATGATCGCGAGTCGCGAATTGTTCGACGGATGGGCCAATAATGTCGCGTTCACCAAGGCAGTCTTAAGACTTCCTAGTGCAGACTCCGCTTCGGTCGTCCATAGGACGGGGGCATTGCCCTTCAACCTGCGTCCGCGCAGCAGTTGATTAAGCGGGGCCTGCAATACGGCGGCGCCAGGGTATGAATCTACGATAGAAGTTTATCATACCCAAGAACCCGCGCAATTGTTTAATTGTCGCTGGCTTTGGGTATTCTTCTATAACTTTAACTTTCTCGGCTAATGGCCTTGTACCCTCGGCGCTGACCGTATATCCTAGGAATTTTACCTGCGATTTCGCAAACACGCACTTGTTCGGGTTGACTATTATGCCGTACTCTTCGAGACGTGAGAAAAGCGCGCGCAGGTGATCTCGATGCTCCGTCTCACTATCCGACGCTACTAAAATATCGTCGAGATACGCGTAGCAGAAATCAAGTCCCCTAACGATGGTATCGATAAACCGTTGGAACGTCTGCGCGGCATTTCTCAATCCGAAGGGCATGACTAAATACTCGAATAACCCGAATGGCGTCGTTATCGCGGTTTTCGGGATGTCATCCGGATGGACCGGGATCTGATGGTATGCCCGAACCAGATCGATCGTCGAAAAGATTGTCTTTCCGGATAACATCCTCGAAAAATCTTCGATATGCGGAATCGGGTAACGGTCTGGGACTGTGCGGGCATTGAGTAATCTATAATCTCCACAGGGTCTCCATCCGTTATCCTTCTTAGCAACCATATGCAGGGCGGAAGCCCACTGGCTCTTAGAAGGACGGATGTGACCGAGATTCAATAGATCCTCAAATTCCGCTTTGGCTGTTTTAAACAGCTCCGGCGATAGCCGGCGCGGTTTGCAAAATACCGGAGGTCCTGGGGTCGTTTGTAAATGGTGAACTACGTCATGCTTTACCTGCCGTCCACCGTGGATCG